GGCCTCATGTTTATGAGCCTACTCCCTAATCTTGTTTTGATGATTACAAACAATTCCTAACAACGTGTATCGAATGTTTATATTTGTTTTGGTAAGTAATCTACACAAATATCCATAGTTGGAGGATGGATGGAATTAAGTTTTAACGATTATATCCAATGGAGGTTGATGAAATTGTGGTATGAAGCCTTGTAATTCAAGTTAAAGATCCAAGTTCAAGCTTCATCCATAAAGTGTACCAAGATGAGCTACATCGAAGATCAAGATAGCTTGGGTAATTTAGTTTAGGTTTATACTTGTGTGTAGATACTTTAAGCTCATATATACACACAAACGTATTTGGTTTTTATATATATAGTCATATATATATATACACAAGTTTTGGTTTTTGATTTTTAAGTTTAAATATGAAACAAATACATACATACATACGTGTGTGTGTATATATATATATATATATATATATATATATATATATATATATATATATATATATATATATATATATATATATATATGTGTGTGTGTGTGTGTGTGTGTGTGTGTGTGTGTGTGTGTGTGTGTGTGTGTGTGTGTGTGTGTGTGTGTGTGTGTTTGTTTGTTTTCATATGGTTAAGTTGTTTTGGTGTAGTTATGTAGATATAAAACAAATATATATTTATATACACATTCATATATTTCATATTTTATTATATTTGATAAAACATTGTGTTTTTGGTTTATAGACTTAACAACAATAGTTTATATCTTTTATCAAGTCTATATAATCATTTTATAATGTTTTAAAACATGGTTTAGTCAAAACATCAAATTTCAAGTATGTTCATTTTCATGATTTGGACTATTTTGAAAAATAATGAGATTTCTCAAATGGGAAGTGCTTTTTAAAAACCAGTTTTTGTAACATGTTCATTTTCATGTTTATAATCATTTATCAAAGTTTTATATTTTTCTGAATTTGCTTGCTATTTTTAAATCAAGTTTAAAAGTTAGAAAACTGTTTTTAAAATCTGTGTATCTGAAATATCAGTCCGCGGTCGACTAGAGTGGTCGTGGAGGTCGACCGCCAAAAGTCCAGAGATTTTGCTCTGTTCTTCAGCCTTTCACGGTCGACCGGACCTGGCACTGCGGTCGACCGCCAGTATGACCGTTGCACAGTAACGGCTAAGTTCCAGTTTTGTTTTTGTATGGGTTTTTGGTCATTTTCTTTGGGTTTTTGCTATTGTGTTGGGTTGGTATATATACCCCCTCTCTCACCAACTAAGAGAATATTTTAAACAAGTTTTTAAGAGAGTTTAAGTGTTTGTTTAGTTTGTTTAAAAATGTTTAAGAGTTTGTTTGTGAAGAGAACTTCACAAGAGCTTGAGGAGATCATCCATTGGTGTTTGAGCATTCAACTCATCTCCCTCTCTCTCTTGTCATTCATTGGAGAAGTTTTCTAAACTATTTTCTAGCTATTTATTTATTTTGATTATAATCTCCATTAGCTATAATTACATTGAGTTTAGTTTTGATTTATCTCTTTGCTCACACAAACAACCATTGTGCTTATTATATTTACATACATTGTATAATTGGGTTGTGGGTTTGTGTGACTTAGAGAGTGAGCTTACAATTCATTCTTATCCATTGTAGAGAACAAATACTTTGTATTGAGCCTAATTGTGAGGATTCACTTTGTATTGCACAAATACACCAAGATGGGTGTAGAGGTGAGGGACGTGATCGGTCCCAAGAGGAGTGAGGCCGGTGGTAATCCCTAGAGGTAGGTCGTAATTCCGAGCACTTAAGGGAGACACGTGAGAGGCCAACACTTGAGGTAGGATTTGTGTAGTTACATTGTGAGTGATTGTGAATGTTGATTGGTGAGCGTTAGAAACCGATATTGTATGGTGTAAACGTTATTCGGGTAAGCATTGAAAACCCGGTTGTGTCGTGGATTCTCCCTGGGAGTGGAGAGCGGAGACGTAGGACGGAAGGTCTAAACTCTGTGATCATATTGCTTGTTTGAGTTTGGCTTGGCGCACTTATATTTTTGTTCATCTTTATTGTCATTCTCTCCTTGCTTATTTCATCCACTATATTGTTTAAATCTTGTTTCACCCTTGTGTTAGTTTCATATCCTTGCTTATATCTCTTGTCATATCTAAAGTGCTAGGATATTTATTAATTAGTTTTAATTGGCATAAAATTAGATTAGATTAGCATATACCCTATTCACCCCCCCCCTCTAGGGTTCTTTCCTAGTGGCATTAGTGTTTAACAAAAACAATACATGAAATTATCCTATCCCGGAGGTCCATGTGTGTTGAAACTCCATACGTGTACGTCCATGGTCGCGCGTGTGTATGTACGGTTTGAACATCGTGTTCACAACCAAACAAGCGTGGAAAAATCCTTCATCAGAAATTTAACATGTCGATCGACTGCCCTTGCATCGGTCGACCAATGACGAACGTGCACAACGTATATAACACTACAATCTTCTATTGGTCGACCGATGATACGAGTCGGTTGACCGACCAGAGAGAAAGACTCAAACCTGACAATCTATCAGTCGACTGATCTTTCTGATTGGTCGACCGATCAGAGCTATGTCGAGACCTATCAGTCACTATCGATGAAAAGTAATTCCAACAGTAAACAATAACACCGATTGTGAATAGTAATTCCGATTATGAATAGTATCACCGACGGTGAATAGTAACATCAACATTGAATAGTAATTTCTATGGTGAACAGTGACACCAGTTGTGAATAGTAACTCCAGTGGTGAACAGTCACACCAGCAGTGAATAGTATTTCTGGAGATGAATAGTAATTTTGGCGGTGAATTGTTATTCCGGCGGTGAACATCAATGCCGTCGTTGAACAGTGGTAAATACTTATAGTTCTAGCAATCAAGATCATGTCTTTTCTCTATTTAGGGATTTGATCTAAAATTTTATTCATCAATTTTTATCAAGATCATGTCTTTTTTCATTTAGGGATTTGATCTCAAGTTATATTCCTCAATTTTCATCAAGATCAAAACTAATTGGGAATGAGTTTTGAAAGAGATGAACTTGCCTTTATTGAACTCTGAAATTAAAATCCCTATCTGTTCCTTCTCTCTCTCTCTTTTCTTCCCCTCTCTCTCTCTCTCTCTCCTTTCTTCCCCTCTCTCTCTCTCTCCTCTCTCTCCTTTATGTCTGCATGCTCCTGCTCTCTCCCATCCCCTTTATATAGCCTCTCAATTAATTAAAAAAAATTAAAAATAGTTGGTGGCACGGTAATATTAGGCGGTGGTTTGTGGCACAGTAACAGTTAGGTGAGTGAGTGTGTATATATATAATTTTATATTATTTAAAAATTGGGTTTTAGTCTCCGTTTACAGAAAGCAATGAAAATTTACTCACAGCACCGTCTCGATATTCTAAGATTAATAGTGCAAATCTCAAGTCTATATGATCAATAGAAAAATTATTAAAAATACAAATGCAGTAGATTTTAACAGACTTGTAACACCGAGGCTGAAACTGCGAATCGAGCTCGAATCGATTACAATCTGATCCATTCATCCCAGAATGATCACCAATCATAATAAAACTCATTTAAAATTATTTTCTCAAATATTTAGGGTTTTATAGTATAAGAGGGTATTAGAGAATATTAACAGAGAAGAAATGATTTTGGGATGATAAAATGAATGAAAACCACACTCTATTTATAGAGGCTTCCCCATAGTAAAATGACCAAGATATCCTCAAATTTGATAATTTCTTGACCTTTTTAAGGATATTTTGGTCAAAATACCCAAAATAGCATTTTCGGTATCTGCTCGAACCAAGTCGGGTTGCTCAGTCGCCAACGACTAGAACTAGATTTTTATTCGTTGGAGGCGGATAGGGTGCAGGACAGAACGACTTTTGACCCTAACAGATACCAATGGCTAGAAATCTAACCGTTGGGAAGGGCCGGGTCCAGGTAGCTCGAAACCGACATGGGGTTGATGGCCCGATGCACGCTGCATCCCGAGCCAGGCACTAGTGAAGTTATCCAGACTCGGGCCTGGTTTTTAGGACTTTTTCCAAGCCCGAGCCAAAAAATCTGGTGACTACTACTAGTGCCAATGAGAAACAAATACCCAGGAAAGCAACACCCAAGAGGAAGGTAACAAATCTAGCAACCTCCAGGAAGAAACAGTTTGAGCCGTGGGCTTCTAGGTCACCCCTATATGGAACAACATAATAAATGACTATAAGGAGTAATGATTCTACCAGAACACCCCACTAGAAAAGGATGATCACCATTCATTGGTGGTTAGAGGATTAGTTTGGTAATTATTATTAATGGTATAAATTACCCCAATCCTGTGGGGATGGTTCTAATAAAATCTCTACTGAACCATAAAGGTGAAAAGAGAAGAACTTCCCTAAAAGAACATGCAAAACGTGATTATGGCGAGTGTATCTGAATAAAATACAACCAAAAGATTTGCTTGTACGAGAGAACAAATTTATTTCATAGTTTTTTTACTTGGATATAACATAAACATATATAATGCATATACTTGCAATTCGCACCTTTTCCTAATAGTTATTCTTTTAACACGTTGATGTTTCCAATCAATACACATTACTTTTGAAGATGTAAAAGGTTCCTCAAGAAAACCTAGAACTGCTGATACATGTTTGTCAAGCAATGGACACCAGTAGGCAGTATCACATGATTTCACTAGGCGATTTTCTCAAGAAAACCTAGAATGATGTTGATATTCTGGAAATTAGTACAGGACAAGTTGAACATCTCCAGGCGTAGTTCTGCAAGAACGTACAGACTCAAAAGAGTCACTTATAGAGCCATATTTAATCAAATAGCAGAAGATAAAAACGGTACAGAGAAAAACAATCCCAAGTTAATTTGATAAACTCTGTAGAAAAGAACCAAGCTTTCAGAAAGTAAAACCACACTCAACAAAAAATTAATAGCTGTAATTTACTCATTAGGAATAGAATATGATCACCTAAAGCACCATTACCAACAATAAATCTCGCAAGATATTGCCCGCAAATCTTCTGATTGAAGTGACAAATCTTAGAGCCAAATTTCATCCACAATTTGACCAAGCACAATAATTTGAACAGTTACAAACAAAATATTATTAGCAAGGGTTCAAGTACAGTAGAGTAGGGGATGAACAACAAAGAGAACTGATCGTCCGTAAAACACCACGTTTCATGCAGCTATTCCTCTTTAAGCAACCGAACCAACCCAAGGATCTATGCTCAGAGGCCCCTGCAACATAACACAGATGAATCAGAGGCAATCGGTACACACTAAGCAAAATAATAAACCCAAAGAAATCTAGAGTAAACAAAATACTATTGATTAATAAAGGTAACCAACATATTTTTTGTGGATGTTGCAAACAAAATAGCAGACTGCACTTTTCACTCGAATCTTCCAGTTTGCTGCTTGAATATATTGCTTCTACAATTCAGTGTTCTATGAACTACATTAATTTTAATGTTGTATTGTTAATGACAATTTTTCTGAGTTGTACCCAGTTGAAGCTAATATTCTTTTTGTTTTTCCAGTCTAGCATTATGCATCCTTGCTAAAATCCTTGTCCTGCATGGAACCTCAAGCTTGTGTAACTTACTATCACACAGTTGTTACGAAATGTCTCTTGAATCCACTAATTTATAAGAAAATAAACTCTTTATTACTTTGATTTCTTACAAGTGCAAGATAGATGCTCAGCTTATCTACACCAGGTATTCAGGTAATTATCCAAAATTTCCTCGCATCTCTTGGAAGTTTATTTATCTGGTCAAATAGAAGGATATGTTGTTGGACGCTGTGATATCAACACAGAAGATCATTTTTCAATTGAAGGATGTTACAAATATTCTTTTACTTGATTCAAACTAAAATCTTAATGTATCCGAATCTCAACTAAAAAAAATAAATGTGAACTTAAAAATGCAAGAAAAATACGTTAGCAAATCCATATGGTCCAAAGTGATTTATCAGCTACAGGATCAAAATATCCCCTATTAGCATCAAAATAAAAGGAAAACACCCGAAAAACCCTCCTTTCATAAATCAAAGTGCAACCAAAATTAGTTCTCTTGTTTCCTTACAGAAAAAAGAGATTTGCAAATTCCAAAACTGATTCTGAAACCTCCTGTTTATACAAATTCTACCGTTTACTGGCCATGCATATTCCTATAGCCAAAATTATGCTAACTAAGCTACTCTAGATCTTCGCCAGACTATAATTGCCTTGGCAGTTGGTACCAAAGATTTTTTCCAATTTTCTTCCCAAATAAGTTCTCAAGCTTCTTTTTCATCCACGTTACTAGGTTCATTACACAGTCAAAGTTTTCTTTCTTTATTGTTTCTCATATGAAACTGTTGCTATCAAGTGGTGGCAGAAAGCCAGATACTGTATGTTTCAAATTCCTAGACTTCTTTGATGAGCACGCGCATCTTGTGGTAAAGAACTATGTTTTGTGGAGCCTAGGAAAAGACAGCTTCCTTCTGGAGATAAATACAAATAGGGCATATATTCCAGTTTAGCACTTGATGTGTCCTAGGAGATGGGAAAAAGATGGTTCTAGAAGGATACATCCTGCTCCGTTTGGAAGGTTGCCTGATAGGAGGATAAGAAGTGGCCATGGAATGGTGTAAAGAAAGATGGAGAATCAGATTCAGGGTGATCTTAGCCTGACTAAGAACTGAAGTCGAGTGTTTTCCTACTCTATTGCAGATAATCACCAACATTCATGAATATTCTAGGTTGCAAAGTGCGGTCCGTGTTCCGTGTTGAAGTAAGCAGCTTGAATAATTTTCTCTGTCAAGTGGGCATTAAAATAATTGAATGATGGCAGCTATAGAGCATGACATAAAACTCCAAGGGCCATTTAGAGAACTCTTCTAAAGGTCAAAGTTGGCACACAGATCAAGTATTTGTCCACAGTTAGAGAATAGAATAAATAAACTTTGTTTAGGGTAAATATCTCTTATGTACACAATGAAACAGCTGAGAAGTGCTTTAACTACTGTAATAAAAAAAACAGACACTGACACATAAGAATTTGGCGAGGCTCAAGCAATGAGAATTTGATACTGGTCCTTTCACATCTGAATGTATTATCACATTACCATGTTTGATCAGAACAAATTAGTTAATTCAAACTCCCTCAGATGATTAGGGTCGTTGTATTAAACTTCCTCAGAAAATTAGGATTGTTGTTGACTATGCAGCATGACAGTATGAAAGTTGAAATAGCTCTATAGAAGACTTAATAAGTTTTGACAGCTATCAACTTGATGCCAAACTTCCAGGCATTGATACCAAACTCCTAGCCATGGACAGATGAGCAAGACACCTACAACAAAACCTTGACTGTCCATTAACAGATAGGTTAAGCAAGCTTATTTAGACAGGCGGTTAAGCTCAGGAGTCAAAGTGACAAACTTCCATAAACTGATAAGAATTCTACACAAATTAGCAGATTATAAGGTTCAATAAAGAGAAGACATGCAAATCTGTGGCAAAAAGAAAAAGAAGAAGGGAAAAACAAAAAGAGAATGGTATTTCCATCAGAAAATGACCAAAAAGTAGAAAGTTCTGTTTGTTGTCTAGCTAACGTCTAGCAGGAATTCAATTTGTTGGCTTGTAGCTGAAATGTGATAGGAGAATAAAAATGAAATTTTAACATCTAGCAGCATAATCAACTTCCAAAAGTATTGTGCACCATAAAACTTTATGTTTGCTCAGTCCAATGATGTCCAACAAAGCGAAGAATGACCAGGAAGGATTTACCAGTATGTAATTACTACTAGTTGGAAATTACAGAAGTACATTTTAGCATATTGACATAGTTTAAATCTCCACCAATACATCCTTTCTTAAGTTGATATCCTTTACCAGCGACCGTCTAGTATTTTTCCTCATATATATATTCTAATCACTTACATTGAGTTCTTATTTAGCAATTTTACTTCTGCTTTAGCAAGTGGTATGAAATTCAAAAGCGCTCTTTTATTAAGTTATCTAGTATAGGATACATATATTAAACATTCATACATTATCAATATTCGTAGAATGGATTCTTTTATTCTCTAAAAACTCTAGTAATAATTCTCCTTTGTGAAAAACTGCAATGGTCATCTTTCCACAACCAAACTTTATCAAAACACTGCATATTTTTTTGCAGGAAAAAATCAAACTCATTTTTCTCCGAAATAATTTTCTGTATATCTACCATTTTCCCATGGCGAAGAGAAAGAGAAGATAAGCACTTCATTTGATTGATGAAGACGGAAGGGGTGTCAGTCTTAAAAACCGAGTACATGGCCAGTAATAGGGTGAAATCCCTAATAAGCCTAAGAATATAGTGCATCATGCATCCTGACCAAAGAGTCTAGGTCCAATCAGACAATAGATAAACAATTTAAATAATAACTGAAAACAATTCCTCTCCACCTAATACATAGAGGCAATAACTTGTATCAAACTACATGACAAGGTATGGGTAATAGACTCCACTGAGCAGCATAGTAATAATAATCGCAAACGTGATATTCTAGAGCAACACGACAGAATGACAATAATAACAACAAGATCAAGAACAATGATATCAAACCCACAAGAGCTATACAGACATAATGACAATATTAATACCAAGGCTCACCAAAATCAACAACAATATGTAGAAATACTATCCCCAATTAAAGCAAAATAAGAATGATAAAAATAGGTCTCAGTATGCGGCAATAATGAAAATCATATAACTATATAACAAGGTTCTACTCGAGCACTAACAATAACAACATATGGCCAGCACAGATAAAACATCACAGGTATGAAATTATAAACACAATATCCTAAACGTTTAGAATCCCTTCTTTAGGGATAAAGCATATAACTCTAGACATAAATGAAAAGAAGTTTCTCTGGTTTTATATACATCAAAATGGCCCATTTCCTCCATTTTGATTCAGGATAATACAAATATTGAAATACATGATAGAACATAAGGAGCATCTGGCTAGCTTACAATACAGTTGATAAAGTTTTGCTAAATTCACATATACGAATAATTACTTATGATCCAATTTTATTCGAATTATCTGCTCACTTTCCACTTTGAAGAAAAAAATATTTTGAAGATAAAATTTCTTGCCATAATCCCTTCCTTTGGATCCCACAATCTTGGGAAAAATCATAGCAACAATTCTCGGATTCTTACATTGCATCCCCTTTTATATAAATTCATCACTGAAGCTGGATAAGTATTATCATTGTTTTAAAAAGCGGTCTAGGCATCGGCCTAAGCAGCTGCTTAAACCTAAGCGATACCTAGTCCTCCCGTCTAAGTCTTGCGAGCGCCTAGGAGAGAACATGCTACTTAAGCGGACTATACAATTTTAGAAATAGGTATATTGCTCGCTTAAGCATCATAATGGTTGAAAAGAGTTAGCCAGGTTAAAATTTACCATAGATCAAAACTCTATGTCCAAGTCTATCTCAAATAAAATTATGAGGACATAATTTGAATCTTTAAAAATGATCCTCTCTCAGTATTAAAAACATTTATGTGTCGCTTAAGCATCCGCCTAGGCGTCTGGGAGTTAGGCACTAGGTTTGGTGTCTAGAAACGCCTAGCGCTTTCTTAAACATTGAGTATTATGACTACATTGAACTCCAACGTTCTTCTCTTACGCACACTCTGAATTATTACTAGATCCACTTATAAATTTTAAGTATCAAATAATTCAATCGTGGTAAAGCGTTAAAAGTTCATTGGTAACTCGACCAAACTCAGGTACCATAAAAAATTTAGTCTATGACATCATATTTTAGCATAGACTAATTGGCAACCACTGTTTGATGACTACATGCATCTATCTTCAAATGCACACATTGATTCACACATATCTGTTATACAACTACGATAATCAATTGTCCATGAAATGGTGAAGTATTCCAAAAAACCACATCAACTATCATGCTAGTTCTAGCAACTTTCTCGTAAACGCATTGTCAATCCCAACAATTTCAGTGTTTCAATTACCAACAACCACCAGGATGAATATCCTAGTAAGCCCTGAAAATCAAACCCCTGACAACGCTACGATGAAAATATTAATAGGACTAAGAATACAACATGTATCCTAAAAAATATACAATAGGCCCAATTGAATAAGGAATATATAATTTGTAATCCATCTCACACTAGGCACATGTATAATCTCTACAGAGCACATGGATAATAATCTAGCGCTAATCTCACGCAGACAACATAAACCAATAACAATGATAATAAAATCTAGCCCCACTTGGGCAATATAATTATAATCATCATAATAATCACAAAAACAACAATAATATTAAACGACATTAGGACCATATAATAATAGCGAATTAGCGACCACAATATTAATACCAACGCTCACCAGAGCAATATAATTCAAAAATAGTATCCCAACTTGGGCAAGATGATAATAATAATAATAGGCCCTACTCAAACGACACCAATGTAGTAATCATAAGATTCATAACTATGGAATGGGTTCCACTCAAGCACTAACATCAACATCAACTGATCAACGTTTGCTAACACTGTTGAAACACTAATATGATGTGAATTCACAATTTTTTATAAGAATGTTACATATCATCCAAGAAAAAAGGCATAATATAATATACACACAATACATGAGATGGAAGTTCCCATAGCTGACCTTCTAATTCTAGTCCCAACAATGGATAATCAAATATAAAATACAACACCCAGGTTTATGTTGACTACGTTTTAATTAATTATATTTTGTTAAATCACCAAATACATGCATAATATGTTGATTTAATTAAATTTTCTAATACTCAATTTAACTTATTAGAGAAGTAGGCTTCACAATGCTTCTGTAGTAAGCCGCAAAACTACCAATCCCATTTCCCAAATTGACTACCAAGAATATTAAACTTCTTTCTGAATTTTTGTTAACAAAATCATGTAAAGCTTTATAAACGCTCAAACAAGCTGATGTGCCATTGGCAAAGAGGTTGGAGGAAAACCATTGAGAAAAAGAATTAACTTAGCTAACACATTAGTCCAGGTATGCCCTTTTTTTTCTTGCAACATTTGGAAGGATAAGGCAAATCCCTTTCCGAACAGAACAGATAGAAGTGTTATCTTGTCCCATCCAGAAATGAATTGCTTTACTCTTCGAAACAAGGGATTAGCTTTGTTTACACATCTATATAAGTTATCTTAAGCCTTTTTATTATGTATTTGTGTTGAAGAAGTTAACAAGGGATTAAACTCCTCAACAGAAAAACTACTTGCTTTCGCTCGGTCAATATGACTTACCAGGCTTTAGGACTGAATTCTAAACAAACATTCTTTTAGAGAGAATCTGGTATATAAAACTCATAATAGGCATTTTGTTTAAACTTGATACAAGTTCTCCTCTGATAGGTGTTTACATCTTGTAACACCTATACATTTAGTCGAATGCAAAACAAAATCATAGTATTTCCAAACCATCACCAGAAAAGGAAATTGCCGCGTTTTTTACTCATTAAGCTAAAACAGTTCTCAAATCCTATGATTCCCGTAGGAGAACAAGAGCAGCAACAACAAGAAAGCCTTCAGCACAATATTACTCCTGTAGGAATAAGGGAAATATTCAATTGTTTTCCAGCTTCGTAAGTGTTACCTATCAATTCAAATAGCCGGCTACACATGATATACAAACTATATACCCCAAAATTATATGGACCAGAGAAGAACACCAACAAATATTCCGACTGCTTGCCTTCCAATTAGGCATATCGATCTAGGGTTTAATTAGGATTTTGTTTCAGAACATACTCTAACTAGGGTTTGTAATTGGGGATACCTGATTTTCTTGACGAGGATGGTCTGCAGCCTGCGGGCGAGCTCCTGGGAGCGGATCCGCATCTGGAGGCTCTTTCGGGCGAGGACACGCTTCTCGGAGTTCTTGAGGTGGCGGGTGTTGTCGGCGTGCCTCTTGATAAGCCTCTCCATCCCGCTGCTCTGCATCTTTCTCTGCATCACAGCTAGGGCTTGGTCCAGATTGTCGTCTCGAACCACGACCCGGATGCCTCGCGTCCACGTCATCATCACCGGCGGAGGAGAGGGTTTCAGGAAGGAGAGGCGGCGGAGCAACGAAGTCATCGTCACCAGAGGAGGAGCGGATCACAAAGTGGGGCGCGAGAGGGGAAAAAAGAGGAGAACGAGGATTCTTAGGGCCTGTTTGGTTGTTTTCTTACGGGCTTGTTTGGATTTGGAGCGGGTGAAGGGAAGTTAGAGGAACATAGGGTAAGTTAAGTTAGGGCCTGTTCGTTTATTTCCTAAAAACCAAGAAATGGAAATGAAAAAGGTGAAAATTTTAAAATAATCCATTTCTTCCATTTTCATCCCTAAAACTCACCCACAATATCTAATAAAATATTATTTTCATCCAACAACTCATCCACATCATCTAATAAAATATTATTTTCATCTAACCACTCATCCACCACATCTAATAAAATATTATTTTCATCTAACAACTCATCCATCACATCTAATAAAATATTATTTTCAACTAAACATCACTCAACTCATCTCTTTTCATCATTTCAAATCACTCACATCATCGAATAAAATATTATAATAATTCACCTCATCTCATTAACATTTTATTTCTTTGTTTTCATCCCAAAAAGTTGTGAAAACACTTTTCTTAATCTTTCTTCACATCACCCAATAATACAATGACAACTCATCTCATCTCATTTCATTTCTTATTTTTAAGAATGAACCAAACAAAAGAAAACAACAAAACTACAGGAAATAGGTTTCTTATAATTCATTTCCTTATTTTTTTCGCCAACCGAACAACATCAAAACTAGTTTTCTTAAAAAATCACTCACATCATCCAATAATAATATGACAACTCATCTCATCTCATCTTCATTTCTTTGATTTCCTTTTTTTTTTTAGCCAACCAAACAATTCAAAAACTCATTTTTCTTAGAAATAGTTTTCTATTTCTTTGATTTTCCATTTTTTTAAGGCAAACGAACAGGCCCTTAAGGGAAGCCAAGGGAATTTCTAAAACTTGTTTGAGAAACTAGTAAGGTGAATTAAGGAGAAGTTATTTCACCCCGTTTGGAAAGTGTAATAACGAGAAGGGAAGGGAAGGGAAGGGAATGTATATAAATTGACATAAATACTCTCACATATTATTAAGTTATATTGTTGTTAGAAATTTTTAGCCGTTAGATTTTGATCTTAGCTAGGGGTAAATATGTCTCTCTACATTTGTTGTATTCCCCCTCTTTACCTTCACCAATATGTCTCTCTACATTTGTTGTATTCCCCCTCTTTACCTTCACCCCTATTACACCCCAAATTGGGGGAGAAGAAATCATGTTATTTTTTCACCTCCTTTCACCTCCCCTCACCCCTATTAACTTGCTATATTTACTTCCCAAACAAGGTTAAAAGTTACCCTCCCTTCCCCTCACCCCCATTACCCTCAATCCAAATAAGCCCTAAGGGAACAATTTTTCACTTCAGCCTCATTTAATTTTTTTATTATTGAAATCGACCCTTTTTTTTATTTACCAAAACCGATCCAATTTCTTGATTAGAAGCTTAATCACCTTCCTAATTAGTCGGGGTTGGAAACTCCGACTATTTAGGAGGGTGTTATATCCTAATTAGAAGCCTTAAACCCTAAAAATTAATATCCTAAATAGTCGGGGTTGCAACCCTAAAAATTAATATCCTAAATAGTCGGGGTTGGCAACCCCGACTAATTAGGAAGGTGATTAAGCTGCTAATCACGAAATCGGGTCAGTTTTGGTAAATAAAAAAAAGGAGTCGATTTCAATAATAAAAAATTGGAATGAGGCTGAAGTGAAAACTTGTTCTTTCTTAAGGGGCTGGGCTGTTTGGTTCGTTTCCTAGATATAGGGAAATGCATTTCCATATACAAAAACACAAGTTTTGAGTTTTCCAAACTTTTCTAAGAAATAGATTGTTTCGCTTTGGTTCGCACAAAAAAAATGATGGGAAACCAATGTATTTAATTTTCTTTTGTTTGGTTTGCATGAAAAAAAGGGAAAACTTTTGTTTATATGGCAAAACGTCGACGTGGCTGCAGTTTTCATTGATTTCATGAGGTTGAGGAAGGAATTGGGGGAGAGAAAAAAATCTGATGTGGCGGCAATATTCATCGAATTTCTCTTCTTCAACCCTAGTGAACCAAAGATGGGAAAAAAACCGACGGAAAGCTTATATCTTACGTGGCCACGAAAAATCTGATGTGGAGGCGGTGTAAAACTTTTCCACCGAGTTAAAAAACAAACCAAACAGCCCCTAAAATCAAAGAAAAATGAAGAGGAAAACATCAATCAAATTTACCTTCAATTTCTTCAATAAAAATTAGCAGATGGTTGTTCTAAAATATGGGGCACATCAACCAATAAGAATTTAACACATCATCATTTTTTTGGTTTCAAGATGTGAACAAAATAAAGAAAAGGAAAATGTTATGAAAAACTTACAACAAGTTATATTTTTTCTTCATTTTCTTTTTTGCCCCTCATTTTCTAGAATTTTTGGGCAAACCAAATAGCCCCTTAAGTTTCGAGAAGGATCAGGAATTTTAGATTGGTAAGAATAGTGGAATAGATAGAGCGTCCGGGTTCACATCATGATGTAAATTCAACCCGTTTTGAGTTGAGCGCGCCCTCAATTTATATGTTCAGCGATACCAACCTTTTTTATTTTTATTTTTTTCCTTTTATTTCCCTATAGATAGATAAAGGGTTAAAAGACCAATCTGGTGTCTATGCTGAGGTTTTATGTTCAAATTGAAATACATGCTTAAATTTTTCTTAATTTAGTCCCTGTATTGGGGATTTAAACTCAAATTAGTCAGCATGTTTTATTTTTTTTCCTCAACTATTTAAATTCTATTTGGGCCTCATACTCGAATTGTTCTCCCTACTTTATTTTAACTTTCAACGTTTTGGAGTAAACTCCCAATAATTTTCAACATCATCCTAAACCCTCCAAGAACTTTCAAAACTCGCCCTACACCGCCAGTAACTTTCAAAATCACACTAAACCCCTAAAAACTTTCAAATCATACTAAATTTTGGAATTGCAGAAAATCCCTAATAAGTTTCTGGATTTTACAGATCACACTTGTATATTTGAACCAAAAAATAACACATAAAGGCAGTCTGAAGGACAATTTCAACTGAAGAAAAAAATGGGTTTGTGACCCTAACATGAGTGAGCAAGAAGAAAACAAATTTGAAAATGAGAGATTTCTATTTTAAGGATTGAAAATATAAATCCATAAAGGATTTTTTTTTTACTAAGGAGTATTTTTTTTATCTTTTTAAGTCACATATGTTGCATATGCCACATCAGATACAACGATGTTAACTTTAGGGGTTTTCTGCAAAAGTTATTAGGGGTTTAGTGTGATTATGAAAGTCATTCTGGGTTTTGTGATTTTGAAATTTATTAGAGGTTTGGTGTGATTTTTGAAAGTTTTTGGGGAATTTGTGTGATGTTTAATGTTATTAGGAGTTTACTATAAAATTTTAAAAGTTAAAATAAAGTGGGGGGATCAACTTGAGAATGAAACCCCAGTACATGGACAAAATTGAGGGGAAAAAATGAAGCAGAGGGACCAACTTGAGTATGAAGTCCTAGTACAAGGATCAACTAGAGAAAAAATAATGTACATGAACCAATATAAGTATGAAGCACTAGTACAGGGACCAAATCGATCTTTTAGTTATAGATAAATGATTTGACCCCATGAGATGCATCAAACATGCACTCTACAGTGTGTATTTGTTACACCCTACGACCTAATCGAAACGCAACAAGGCTAACTCACACTAATCCGACGATGGCTTTATCGCAGTAATGTGCTAATCCTATAAATATTGCTACTTAATTTTATTTATTTACCAAAATAGGTCAATTTCGTAGAGTATATTAAATGTACAACATTGGCTATAACAGAGTTTATGTTATTTGTATAAACAGCTACTCTAATTCTATTATATATGTATAGATATAGATATGAATGGCAAAATAATAAATAAAGATCAACCACCATTGAAAGAGTGCATAATAGCTCACTGGTCGAGCGCTCTTGCACCAAAGATGAACGTGGCTAAGCGATTGCCAAAGCTATGGGATGCCAAAATGCATTAATAGGGGAGCGTTCTGCCTCGACGAAAATAATCTACAATGCACTAGAACGCCGTTGTTGTTGACGATCCTTTACCTTGAAAGCATCTAGGGCCCCTTGAACAATGTGATATCCCACACCGAGTAAATCCTTAGGATAAAAATAACTTTTCAGAAAAGTATCTAATATTAAAAACCATTTATAAACCAACAACAAAGCTCATATCTGACCATTTATATTCCCAACAAATCCTTTGCTCACAATCTGGTACACATCAACTACCTAGGAAGGGAACAAAAGCAATCCTTCAGAGTGGATCCAACAAGAACAATCAAAGGAATAGGAATCCAAAGGAATAGATTTATAAATAATAATAATTCACATGTAAGCAATAAATTAAATGAGTGATAACCTAAAAGAGATTTCATTAAAAAAATAGATTATTTTGCACAAACAAAATGGTGGAGTAATAAGCTATGATATAGATAGCAATATAAATAGGAAATATGTAGTGCACTGATAAGGTAAGCTCACACCTTAATAATTACAATGTCACTATTATGCATGTCTACTCAAATTCTAATCATATCGTCACAACTTATACTAAGGGTTAAAACAAACCACAAGTGAAAGTAATGTGAGATTAATAATCAATATAACAAATAACACTGAGGATATCATCCACTCTGCTACAAACATCATCATCATATCACTGAAAGTACCCTAGAGGGGAGGGGTGAATAGGGTAATTGCTAATCTAATCTGACATCGATGCCAAATTAAAACTTATTAACTAATATATCCTAATGATGTAGTATACAATGAAATATCCAAGGATATACAATTAAACAATGGGCGAAATAAACATGAATACAAGAACAAGAGAGATAGTGCACAAATGACAAACGCAAACACAAGGCAAATGATCACAGAGTTTGGTCGACCCACGACCTACGTCTCCGCTCCTCACCCTCGAGGAGAATCTCCATTATCTCAAAAATACTATACAATCGGTTTTCAACGCTCACCGATAAACGTTTACTGTGACGCCCCTAGTTTTGCATAAGGCTGCA